ATATTAGAAAAGCGCAAAAAACATCAAGGAATAAACCGACCAAAGTAAACTGGGAGATTTCGCCGCTGAACATTATCGTCGATGAGCGGAAGTCCAAGTGAATGAGGCATGGTTCTGCCAACGCCCAGGATAAGTAGGCCACCAAAGATCATGACGAATGGGCCCATATTTGACGGACTTTTTGCGCAACGAACCGTTTCAATCTGAACATGCATACAATTATCCACTGGATGCTTGTTTCAACTGCCCCATGCTGAGCCCGAAACAGATGGCACACCTTAAGTTGGTGAATTATGAAAATACGGCTCAACGCTCTAGCGGCATTTATTTAAGCTTGCTGCTTTTACTAATCAGCCAGTTTAGCAAAGCGTGATTTTTATAGTAATGCAACGATCTTCAGGTTTTTCTTATCGCTCTTGTGATGCAAAGCCGTCTTTGCCTCCTTCCATTGCTTGGTTTTCTTTTTTTCCATCGAATTCTTAATAAACCAAACGGAAATGTTAGAAAAACAGCATGTGATTATGATTATGTGTACTTAGTTTCGGGTGTCGGATAATCTTAGATAAAACCTCCTGATTCCTCGACTTTTTATGAAAATACTAACGCGTTTCCTGAGAGCGTTGAGCTGATTATTGCAGAACGAAAATGGCGATTGTGCTAATATACGAATATTCGAAATTCCAGTCAGATTTGCACCATTTAAATGCTATAAGAAAATCTCTTGAGGCACAAATTGAAAGGTTTTTGAATTTTCAAAGGACTTTTTGCAGTTAAAAATGACCAGTAACAGCAAAAGTAACAGTTGCAGCAGGAGCAACGGGGCCGATAATGATATTAGAACACAAGCTCCTTTAGCTGGTAATCCCCGCTGCGTGCTCCAAGGAATTCGGATTCGCTTGCTATATTCATCAGTGTTAACGCATTTATCAAGGACAGCAAGAAGAAAGCTCTTAAGAAATGATGGTCATGTCTGAAATCAAATGCGGGAGCTTAAATGCGCGCCAGACTGAGTCGTTACTAGGCCACCTTTAAAAGGCGCGCATCTCATGCCAAATGAGTCCAGCTCACCGATTCAGGAAATTTAATATCTTACGATCTTACGATATTAAATATCTTACGATATTAAATTTCCTGAATCGGTGAACTTACGATAAAGATAACAATTAATCATTTCATTGCACAATAGAAATTTATAAAGCCCAATCAATCTCTAACTTGCACTGCATTACGGCAAATTTTTGTTGGACTGCTAGATTCGGAAAACAGCACGCCAATGTAACCAAAAATCCGGATTTCACATGTGCTAATTGCGCCAAAAACCATTTTAAAGTTCAAAAGCCTTCTTCACTTACTGCCACATTTACTTTTGACATGCGCATAACAACTACTGGGCAAAAACGTTTAATTTAGCTGCAAGTCATCTTTAGTCCTAACTCTTCAAAAATCCTTTTTGTGCATCCCTTGAAAAGCCAACTTTTTCGAACGAGCCAGCACGCGTACTGCCAACGAAAAATTTAAAAAAAAAAAAA